CCGCACCGGCGACGACGACCCGCATCGGCTTCTGCAGCAGCTTGGTGCTCTCCCGGGAACCTCATCCAGGAAGGCGTGCGGAGGCTTTCATTCGCGACGGTTGCAGCTGCACGCAAAACTTCCGCAACGCCCGCTCCTGAGGCCGCCGACGGCTGCAGGGCACAAGCCCCCTTCGCCCCGCAGCCCGCGCGCGGCCTGCAGCAACCCTGGCGCGACGGGAAGGAGAGCGCAGCTCCGATCTGGCGACGGCGTCCTGGTGCCTGGCAGCTAATGCCCGGGGAGTGGTCACTGGGCCAGCCTTTGCCCGGAGGACAGGGGGTCCCCCCTGAGGGCTGCATCTCTCATCAGACTGGTGAACTCGCGCTTTTGGAAGCGGGAAAATAAGCTAATCAAGACGAGGCATCGAAAAGTCGCGAATGTGTTCGTGGGGAACTGAGGTCAGGGCCCTGTTAAAAAACGGGACTCGGTTGGCCCTATTTCAGGCAGGTTACAGAACGCACCCCAAGCTCACAGTCCGTTGGACTTTTTATTTTGGGGGTGACCATTCTTGGAGGCACCGCGTGCAGATCCATGCAGACCTCCCCTGACCCGCCATCCCAGCGACTCTGTGGCCACAGTTCATGCATCTCAGGATCGCCTCTCGCCCTAAGGATGAGGATGATCCCAGTGACTTGTTTTACCTTTTCAGGGTTGGCTCCTGATTCACTTTGGGGGGAGGGGAACATGAATAGACGATCATTTCAGGGAGTACCTCAAGCTGCCAGACTTGAAAATTTATCACATTTAAAAGACAAAACATTTTCTGTCTGTTGGGGTGCTGATTCTTAAAACACACGGTACCATGAAAGGGCCTTTTCTCTGCCCCCGCTTTGCAGCTGGCTGCGTTCCCCGAGTGGAAGGGAAAGCCGCGATGTGCCCAGGGTGGGGATGGATAGGAGGTGGAGGCAGGTGGTGAAGTGCCGGAGTCTCCTGAGGACAAGCGCACCGCCGCCACCGCGGGTGTAGGGAGGCGGGGACGCGGGCACCGGAGCCTCCCGCGGGCCCGCCGCAAGCCTGGCTTTTATGGAAACTGTCCAGAGACGTGGCCTCGGGCCCTCCTCTCCCCCTCAGCTCTGCTGTCCTATTCGAGAGGGCCATACTGGTGCTCCCGGGGGCCCGGGCTGGGGGCTGGGAGACGCCACGTGACAGGCACTCCAGGGACACTCAGCCTCACACAGCAGCTTATAATGGGCTCTCTGGGGCCATTTGTAATAACAGCTGCAATTCCCTGGGTAGATGGAGTTGATTTCCTCCCTCTGCCCCTCCCCCAGCCATGCCAGATCGCTTTTGTAAGTGAAGGAAACGGCGTAGAAAATGTGACCCTCCAAATGGAGAAGCTGCAGGCTTTGCCAGTGTGAACCGTGATGAAATGTTTGTAACGTACTGTTCACTCACTCTGAGGGATTTAAGACTGTTTAGCTGGTGTTTTAGTTTTGTAAGATTCAATGGCTGGTTCATCATCCAGGTGAGGCTGTTGACATATCTACACTTCGCACCGGAGTGTCTGGAATTGTCGCTATCCTGATTATAGGATTTTAACTTAACTGAAATATCTATTTGTAATAAATGTGTTGCATTTCTTGTCTGGTTTTATTTTATACTTGCTGTCGGCGGGAAAGATGCACAGAACACATTTCTCTGTTCTTCATAAACATGAAAACACTTGAAATCTTTGTCAGCCTCGTTTGCGGATGGTAATTAGAGTGCCTTTGTGTCTGAACAGCTCACTGGTTAGACAGGGTCTGCACGCCTGGGTGTGTATTGGTGCTGGCACGAAATTAAATGAAAGTGAGGTCAGGTTTGGACCAAGCCCTTTCACCAAAACCCTAGAGCCTTTGGATTACTAACCCGCAATGGAGATGTTTTATGAAGCTGCTTCTGACTGTTTTAGCAAAGATCAGTCACTGCAGGTGGGGAGGCTTACCACTTTTTTTTTCTTTCTACTGGGGCCATTCATTACGTGAACTTATTCCAGGAAGTTTGAGCAGCTCTTGTACAGGGGTTGCTCAGGGGGGCCAGCCTGTGGTGGGAAAGCTGGCCGAGAGTGGATTCAAGTATTGCTCTCTCTGCCCTGGGCATGTTTGCCGCCCTTCTCTCCCTAAGAAGTGACACAATAGCCCATCTCTGTCCCTCCAGTCTTGAGTTACCTAAGTCTGTTTCCTAAAGGAAGGTTCAAGTTCCCTTATTCAGTGGGGACCTTGGACAAGTTGCTCAACTGTGGGCTTCCATTTCCTCACCTGTACAACAGATGAGAAGTGAGTGAGGAAAAGGGTTCATGATGACTGGCACGTACTGGAGATAAACAGTCTTTAGTCCCTAACCCCTTCTTTCCCAGGACACTCCCTAAGTGGCTAAGGGATCCTCTGTTTCTCATGAAACAAGGTCATGCCATGATCCCAAAAGTTCTTTCTGGATCCATTAGAATCCTTCCTAACTTGTTTTGCGCTCAGTGCCTGTTGTCTGTACTTCCCCATTCTCTCAAATACACAGACCCTGAGGGTCTCTGAGAAGTGCCTCCAGAACACACCAAGCCAGCCATTTCCCGCGACTTGCCCAGAAAGAGCTGTAGGGGGCTCAGTCCAGTGCTGCCCAGCAAGGGAAGGGTGATTCTGTGGCTCTAACAAACTGAGGAAGAGGGCTTCCCACAGTGCATTGGTCTATCACCTCTGGGCACTGAGCAGCAGGGGAAAGTGGTCAGGTGCTGGCATGCCCTGTGGTTGGAGTAGCCCTGAGGTCCTTGGCCTGCTCCTTAGCTGGGTGGGATTTCCCAGAGGCCAATGGGTTAGGAGCAATCCAGAGCCAAACTGGCCGTGATTTGATGCCTCTCTGAAGTCTTTCAGAGTCTAGAACCCCAAGCCTCTTTCCAATAGCCTGATATCATCATACATAGTTCAATGTCGTTCGCTGCACTACTCCACACATACACTACAATGTCAATGACACCCCTGCAGTTGTCCAACATGGTGGCCCTGCCATTAGAATCATGGAAAACCATGCCCCAGACCAGTGGTCGGCAAACTGCGGCTCGGCAAACCGCGGCTCGCGAGCCACACGCGGCTCTTTGGCCCCTTGAGTGTGGTTCTTCCACAAAATACCGACTTCTGCGCATGGGCCACGAAGTTTCAATCGCACTGTACGTGCACGCCCGCACGTGGTATTTTGTGGAAGAGCCACACTGAAGGGCCAAAGAGCTGCATGTGGCTTGCGAGCCGCGGTTTGCCGACCACGGCCCCAGACCCATAGGCTGAGCTAGGGAAAGCTGTAACCATTTTCTTTTAACATGTGCAGCATCCTATGAAGACAGTTGGCCACAGAAAATGGCTGGGTGAGATAAAAGGCCAAAGCTATAAACTCCATGAAAAGCATACAAAATAAACAAACTAGCAAATAACAAGGGATTTGGAGAAAAGAATGCCACACTTCACAGAGAACTCCAAGAGCCTGCTACCCCAGGATTTCACTCTAAATTAGGCAGAAATGCTACAATATTTGGATTCAGTTTTTACCCTTTTTTTCTCTCTCCTTTTCCAGCTCAGAAGCAGAAACATGGAGCGACGATCAGACGCCACTTTCCTATGCAGCAAAGTCTGTATTGAACCCTGTGATCCCTTCCTTCCAATCAGGAAAGAGTTACCCTGGCAACCAAATTACTAACTCACTCAATTAGCTCCCCCCTCTTCCACCAATGCTCAGTAATCACAGAATGTCAGCCCTGGGAGAGTGCAGCCTTCAGTGGTCTAGTGCTACCGCGTCATTTAGAGATGGAAGCCCAGAGATAGATGTTTCCACACTGAGGTGCACTCCATTTGAACGCCGTGAAGGCTAGGGCAGGCAAAGGGGCAAAAACTCTCCCATGCGGCACTTCCTCCTGGTTTTCCATCCATAACTAAAGGCAGAACAGGTGACCTGCCCATAACAGTGTTTCCCAGGAGGCTAATAGATGGGTGTAGACTCTGCAGACAGCCCTCCATTGCTAGCCCAGTGATTTAGCACAGGGTCCTTCACCTCAATAATCCCAATGAACTCATCTGCAAAATGGGGAATAAACATAAAGCCTACCGCCCTGACCAGGTAGCTCAGTTGGTTAGAACATCGTCAAGACTGCGGGTTCAATCCTGGTCAAGGCACATGCAAGAAGCAACTGCCCGGCCGGTGTGGCTCAGGGGTTGAGCATCATCTCAGGCATCCAGAGGTTGCCAGTTCTATTCCCTGTCAGGGCACATGCCCAGGTTGTGGACTCTATCCTCGGTGGGGGGTGTACAAGGACAGCCGATTGATGATTCTCTCTCATCATTGATGTTTCTCTCTCCCCCCTCTCACTTCCTCTTTGAAATCAATAAAAATATATTATATATGTGTGTGTGTGTAATTTTTTAAGAAAAAAAAAAAGAATACAGCCTACCTTGAAGAATTGGGTGAAGATTAAATTAGATAATGTCAAATTAGATCATGTATGGGAAACAAATAGCAAACAAACATTCAAATAATAAAACATCATTCCTGGAAGCTATTGCATAAAGGTCAATACTTTAAGTCCTGCCTCTTAATGAATTCTTCAATCTGTCTCCTCTGAAGATCAGACCAGTTTCTTGAGAATACATCCCTGTTGTATAGGTAAGCACTCAGGAAAGTGCATAGGAAGGGAATAATCAGTCAGTTTAGAAAAGGTTTAATCACAAAAGGATGGAGGTCCCCTTCAAGCCAAACCTTGAAAGCAGCTCAGGATTGGGACTGGCAGAGAGGCAGCAGGGATGTTACAAAGGGGAGGGTGTGTGGGGAGGATAGCTTGGAGCCACAGCTCTTAGCTCCTCTCTTTCCCCTCGGAAAACCCATCCCCTTCTAATTCAAATTCAGTGCTCACCTGAAGTTCTGCATGCCTGCCCTGTCCACTCCCATCTATAATTTGTACTGTGAAAGTCATGCAATTTCTTCGCAGGAAGGGATCTTCAAATTCATTTTGTTCTCACTCCTCATTTTATTTACAGTCTTTATAGGTTTATCTCAGGAGCTCATATGTGAGTGTCTCCTTTTCCCAAAGAGATTATATATTCTTTGATGGCAGAAGAGTGACAAAATGAAGAGGATGTTTTAGGCAGATTATCAGGGGACACAGCATGGGGGATGGACAAAGGTTAAGGACAAACCTTTATGGTCAGCTAGATCAGTTGGATGGCTGTTAAAACATCCAGGCACCAGGTGATAAGGGCCTGGGGGGGGGGGCAGGCGGGGAGAAAGAGGAAAATATAACATACACATTCTGAAAAGAAAACTGTAGGCCTCAGTATAGTTCAAAACGCTCTGGAGCCAGACTGCCTCAGTCACAACCCTGGCTCTTTCCGTTAAAGCTCTTTCCTGTGACGTTGGGCAGGTCACTTCATCTGTCTAACCTCGCGTTCCTCATCCATGAAGTTTGATAATAAAGTCCCTGTCTCAGAGGGTTGTGAAGATTCATTGAGCTAATTCTAGTAAAAACGCTTAGGTCACTGCCTGAAAGGTAGCTGCATTTAGTAACAACGCTGGGTATTGGTATCTAATAAATATTTGCAGAGCAAACAAATTGGGCAATTTCAACAGAGTTGTGGAAGCTAAGGGTGTGTGTGTGGTGCTTGGGGCAGAGATGATGAGTTGTGGTGCCTAGAAGTTCAAAGAAGATGGAAAAGGAGGGACGGCAGCTAAAAAGGGAAAGCAGGGCCAATGGCAGAATTTATTCTTGTCTGACTGTGGATGAGAAACGGAAGGGAAGATGCTAAAGGACAAGGCTCCTGGAGGCAGGAAGGGATGGGGTTCCCTGGGCAGGACAGGTTTGAAAGGCAGAGGGATTGTAGGGGTTGATGTCTATATTATGTCACAAACTGTCATACCAAGGCAAGGCCTGGGACCTGGGGATTGGCTATTGAAACAACCTTGCATAACCCTTCTTGCCTGGGATAGCTATGTTTCGTTGTTGTTGTACAAATGAATCCTTCTCTGTACCTTATACTACAATAGGATAAAAACTAAATCTGATACCAAGGAACTTTTTAACTGCTTCCCCTTATCAATTAACTGACTCATAGGAGATAAAACTCGCAACCCCCAACTGATAAGCTATTCAGGCAGTTTGTTTGACTTATTGATTTGGGTGGGTTAAAAAAAGTCACAAGCTGATTATCTCATCATGTTACCTTTGCCCTGCCTTTTGCCCATTTCTTTTTTAGTCTGAATCAGATTCCATAGCGTAATATGGGTGAAAAATGGTTTCTTAGGTTTTCCTGAACATCTTCTCCAGACATAGGAGTCAAAATCACCTTTCTTCAGATGCACCCTAAATTGTACTTTTTTTCAGGTGTATTAAGGAGGGGAGAACTCAAGAGTGCAGATGTTCAAAACACACCATTTAATGGTGCCAGTAAAGGGAAGTTGAATAACTTCAGGGTTCAAAAAAGACAATGGATCCCTGGCCAGTATGGCTCAGTTAGTTAGAGCATCATCCACCAAAAGGTCGCCAGTTCAATTCCCAGTCAGGGCACATGCCCAGGTTGGGGGCTTGATCACCAGTAGGGGTGTGCAGGAGGCAGCCGATAAATGTTTCTCTATCTCTC